TAGTGGTCTCACTCGATCAGAAGGTGGGAAATATATAAATCTAGTGAGCTAATAAGGTTCGAAAGGAATCTAATGCATATGTATATGGAAAATGGTGCATTGGCCAGGTCGGTCAGTATGGGAACTTAGAGTGCAAATGCAAGGGAGAACGGAAGCGCTCAGATCTCGCATAGTACACGGAATCTAGTGGTCTCACTCAAATAGAAGGTAGGAAATAAATTCATCTAGTGAACGTAACGGTTTAAAAGGTAACTAACGCACATGTGTAGAGAAAATGGTGCATCGGCCAGTCTGGCCGGCATTTCGCACTTATAGTGCAACTAGGGCCAAGGAGAACGGAAACGCTCATTTCTCAAAAAGTAAAGGGAATCTAGTAGTCTCACTCGATCAGAAGGTGGGAAATATATAAATCTAGTGAGCTAATAAGGTTCGAAAGGAATCTAATGCATATGTATATGGAAAATGGTGCATTGGCCAGGTCGGTCAGTATGGGAACTTAGAGTGCAAATGCAAGGGAGAACGGAAGCGCTCAGATCTCGCATAGTACACGGAATCTAGTGGTCTCACTCAAATAGAAGGTAGGAAATAAAGTCATCTAGTGAACGTAAGGGTTTGAAAGGTAACTAACGCACATGTGTAGAGAAAATGGTGCATCGGCCAGTCTGGCCGGCATTTCGCACTTATAGTGCAAGTAGGGCCAAGGAGAACGGAAACGCTCATTTCTCAAAAAAGTAAAGGGAATCTAGTGGTCTCACTCGATCAGAAGGTGGGAAATATATAAATCTAGTGAGCTAATTAGGTTCGAAAGGAATCTAATGCATATGTATATGGAAAATGGTGCATTGGCCAGGTCGGTCAGTATGGGAACTTAGAGTGCAAATGCAAGGGAGAACGGAAGCGCTCAGATCTCGCATAGTACACGGAATCTAGTGGTCTCACTCAAATAGAAGGTAGGAAATAAATTCATCTAGTGAACGTAAGGGTTTGAAAGGTAACTAACGCACATGTGTAGAGAAAATGGTGCATCGGCCAGTCTGGCCGGCATTTCGCACTTATAGTGCAAGTAGGGCCAAGGAGAACGGAAACGCTCATTTCTCAAAAAGTAAAGGGAATCTAGTGGTCTCACTCGATCAGAAGGTGGGAAATATATAAATCTAGTGAGCTAATAAGGTTCGAAAGGAATCTAATGCATATGTATATGGAAAATGGTGCATTGGCCAGGTCGGTCAGTATGGGAACTTAGAGTGCAAATGCAAGGGAGAACGGAAGCGCTCAGATCTCGCATAGTACACGGAATCTAGTGGTCTCACTCAAATAGAAGGTAGGAAATAAATTCATCTAGTGAACGTAAGGGTTTGAAAGGTAACTAACGCACATGTGTAGAGAAAATGGTGCATCGGCCAGTCTGGCCGGCATTTCGCACTTATAGTGCAAGTAGGGCCAAGGAGAACGGAAACGCTCATTTCTCAAAAAGTAAAGGGAATCTAGTGGTCTCACTCGATCAGAAGGTGGGAAATATATAAATCTAGTGAGCTAATAAGGTTCGAAAGGAATCTAATGCATATGTATATGGAAAATGGTGCATTGGCCAGGTCGGTCAGTATGGGAACTTAGAGTGCAAATGCAAGGGAGAACGGAAGCGCTCAGATCTCGCATAGTACACGGAATCTAGTGGTCTCACTCAAATAGAAGGAAGGAAATAAATTCATCTAGTGAACGTAAGGGTTTGAAAGGTAACTAACGCACATGTGTAGAGAAAATGGTGCATCGGCCAGTCTGGCCGGCATTTCGCACTTATAGTGCAAGTAGGGCCAAGGAGAACGGAAACGCTCATTTCTCAAAAAGTAAAGGGAATCTAGTGGTCTCACTCGATCAGAAGGTGGGAAATATATAAATCTAGTGAGCTAATAAGGTTCGAAAGGAATCTAATGCATATGTATATGGAAAATGGTGCATTGGCCAGGTCGGTCAGTATGGGAACTTAGAGTGCAAATGCAAGGGAGAACGGAAGCGCTCAGATCCCGCATAGTACACGTAATCTAGTGGTCTCACTCAAATAGAAGGTAGGAAATAAATTCATCTAGTGAACATAAGGGTTTGAAAGGTAACTAACGCACATGTGTAGAGAAAATTGTGCATCGGCCAGTCTGGCCGGCATTTTGCACTTATAGTGCAACTAGGGCCAATGAGAACGGAAACGCTCATTTCTCAAAAAGTAGAGGGAATCTAGCGGTGTCACTCGATCAGAAGGTGGGAAATATATAAATCTAGTGAGCTAATAAGGTTCAAAAGGAATCTAATGCCTATTTATATGGAAAATGGTGCATTGGCCAGGTCGGTCAGTATGGGAACTTAGAGTGCAAATGCCAGGGAGAACGGAAGCGCTCAGATCTCGCATAGTACACCGAATCTAGTGGTCTAACTCAAATAGAAGGTAGGAAATAAATTCATTTAGTGAACGTAAGGGTTTGAAAGGTAACTAACGCACATGTGTAGAGAAAATGGTGCATCGGCCAGTCTGGCCGGCATTTCGCACTTATAGTGCAAGTAGGGCCAAGGAGAACGGAAACGCTCATTTCTCAAAAAGTAAAGGGAATCTAGTGATCTCACTCGATCAGAAGGTGGGAAATATATAAATCTAGTGAGCTAATAACTTTCGAAAGGAATCTAATGCATATGTATATGGAAAATGGTGCATTGGCCAGGTCGGTCAGTATGGGAACTTAGAGTGCAAATGCCAGGGAGAACGGAAGCGCTCAGATCTCGCATAGTACACGGAATCTAGTGGTCTAACTCAAATAGAAGGTAGGAAATAAATTCATTTAGTGAATGTAAGGGTTTGAAAGGTAACTAACGCACATGTGTAGAGAAAATGGTGCATCGGCCAGTCTGGCCGGCATTTCGCACTTATAGTGCAAGTAGGGCCAAGGAGAACGGACACGCTCATTTCTCAAAAAGTAAAGAGAATCTAGTGGTCTCACTCGAGCAGAAGGTGGGAAATATATAAATCTAGTGAGCTAATAAGGTTCAAAAGGAATCTAATGCATATGTATATGGAAAATGGTGCATTGGCCAGGTCGGTCAGTATGGGAACTTAGAGTGCAAATGCAAGGGAGAACGGAAGCGCTCAGATCTCGCATAGTACACGGAATCTAGTGGTCTCACTCAAATAGAAGGTAGGAAATAAATTCATCTAGTGAACGTAAGGGTTTGAAAGGTAACTAACGCACATGTGTAGAGAAAATTGTGCATCGGCCAGTCTGGCCGGCATTTTGCACTTATAGTGCAACTAGGGCCAATGAGAACGGAAACGCTCATTTCTCAAAAAGTAGAGGGAATCTAGCGGTCTCACTCGATCAGAAGGTGGGAAATATATAAATCTAGTGAGCTAATAAGGTTTGAAAGGAATCTAATGCATATTTATATGGAAAATGGTGCATTGGCCAGGTCGGTCACTATGGGAACTTAGAGTGCAAATGCCAGGGAGAATGGAAGCGCTCAGATCTCGCATAGTACACGGAATCTAGTGGTCTAACTCAAATAGAAGGTAGGAAATAAATTCATTTAGTGAACGTAAGGGTTTGAAAGGTAACTAACGCACATGTGTAGAGAAAATGGTGCATCGGCCAGTCTGGCCGGCATTTCGCACTTATAGTGCAAGTAGGGCCAAGGAGAACGGAAACGCTCATTTCTCAAAAAGTAAAGGGAATCTAGTGGTCTCACTCGATCAGAAGGTGGGAAATATATAAATCTAGTGAGCTAATAAGGTTCGAAAGGAATCTAATGCATATGTATGTCAGAACATATCTATAGCTTATACTGCTGTGTAGGCTGTAGTGGGGTATCCCATAGGGGGTACAACCCAGTTAGGGTTTCATATTTGTACTGCTTTCATTCATAGTTGATTCATTCCTGTTTTCCTAGTTTCACATGGTATAGAGCGGGTCCTACCTTAGGACCGTTGTCTGGGCCCACCGACGCGCGCCCCGAGGCGCGCCCTTTTTTTTAGCGACCCCTCGGGTCGCCTTTTCACTCGCGGCCCCGCCGCCTCCTCTGACGCGGCTTTGCCGCCTCCCCTGACGCGGCCCAGCCGCCTCCCTTGACGCGGCCCCGCCGCCTCTTTTAACGCGGCCCCGCCGCCTCCCTTGACGCGGCCCCGCCGCCTCCCTTGACGCGGCCTCGCCGCCTCCCTTGACGCGGCCCCGCCGCCTCCCCTGACGCGGCCCTGCCGCCTCCCTTGACGCGGCCCCGCCGCCTCCCTTGACGCGGCCCCGCCGCCTCCCCTGACGCGGCCCCGCCGCCTCCCCTGACGAGGCCTCGCCGCCTCCCCTGACGTGACTCCGCCGCCTCCCCTGACGCGGCCCCGCCGCCTCCATTGACGCGGCCCCGCCGCCTCCCCTGACGCGGCCACGCCGCCTCCTCTGACGCGGCCCCGCCTCTGCTGCCGACGGCCCCGCCGCTGCACTCTACGGCCCGCCGCTGCACCCTGCCGGCCCGACGCTGCTCCTGCTGGCCCGCCGCTGCACCTACCGGCCCGCCGCTGCACCCATCGGCCCGCCGCCTCTTACGGCCCGCCACTTGCACCTGCCGGCCCGCCGCTGCACCTGCCGGCCCGACGCTGCACCTGCCGGCCCGACGCTGCATCTCCCGGCCGAGCCGCCCCAGCAGCCGAGCCGCCCGGGACCCGAGCCGCCCTGCCGCCGAGCCGCCCGGGAGCCGAGCCGCCCTGCACCCGAGCCGCCCAGCCGCCGAGCCGCCCGGGAGCCGAGCCGCCCTGCACCCGAGCTGCCCAGCCGCCGAGCCGCCCGGGAGCCGAGCCGCCCTGCGCCCGAGCCGCCCAGCCGCCGAGCCGCCCGGGAGCCGAGCAGCTGTGCACCCGAGCCGCCCGGTCGCTGAGCCGCCTTTCTGCTGACTGCACGACCTGCCGTGCCTGGTGAGCACTGTCCCACTGACACTGCGAGCTCTTTCCCTACTGCTTGCACTGCGTCGCTGTCGTCACCATGGCTACCCCTAGTGTCCTAGCTTTTGACGCTGAGGGTCGCGCCATTGATTTTGAGGTCTGGTTAGACGACCTGCAGCTGTTCTTACAGTGCGACAGGGCTGACGACCTTTCTCTCTTTGACCTCACCTCTGGCGCCTCTCCTGCCCCTGCTGCTGATGCTGATCCCGCTGTCCGCTCTAAGTGGGCCACCCGCGATGCTGCTGCACGTCTTGCTGTGCGTCGCCACCTCCCTACCTCTGAGCGTGCGCACTTTAGTCAGTACAAGAGTGCTCAGACCTTGTACGACGCTGTAGTTGCGCGCTACTCCTCCCCTGCCACTGCTGCACTGAGCCGTCTCATGCTTCCCTACCTCTTTCCTGACCTCTCTGCCTTTCCCACTGTCGCTGACCTCATTACGCACCTCCGCACTAGTGACACTCGCTACCGCGCCGCCCTTCCTGCTGAGTTCTGCGCTAAGAACCCCCCCCCCCATGTACATCGCTCTCTACTACGTAGTCGCACGCCTCCCTGACTCCCTTCGCGTCGTCAGGGACCACTTTCTCGCAGTCTGTCCCACCACTCTCACCGTCGACCTCCTCGAGAAGGCCCTCCTTGCAGCGGAGAAGAGCATAGTCGCTGTAGGTGCTTCTCGTGGTGACCCTCGCACCCCCATCTTTGAGGGGTGCTCTCCTTCCCCCTTGCTGCCCTCTGTTGCCTCTGCTGCTGCTGCCGACCTGCTTGGTCTTGAGTCGGTCGGCGCGGCGTCTGCCCCTAGTGGGAGACGTCGCTCCAGCAAGGGCAAGGGGGGCAAGGGCGCGGGTGGAGCTGGAGGGGGCGGTGGCGGTGGCGGCGGTGGCGGCGGAGGGAGTGGGGGTGGCGGCGGGGCTAGTGGCGGGGGTGGTGGTGGTGGTGGCGGCAGCAGCGGCGGAGACGGTGGTGGTGGTGCCAACGGTGGTGGTGGAGGCAGCGGCGGAGGTGGAGGCGGCGGAGGTGGAGGCAGTGGAGGCGGCAGCGGAGGAGGCAGTAGTGGTGGAGGAGGTGGAGCTGGTCGGGGTGGTACCGAGCAGCGTAGCGGCGGTGGTGGTGGCCAGCGCTCGCACCGGCAGCAGCAGCAGCGCTCGCGGGACATCCCTTCGCCTCAGCAGCTTCGTGAGTGGTACGCTGGGCGTCAGAGGGGTGGGGGTACTGAACCCTGCACCTACGTTCTTCGTTCCGGCGACCGCGCGGGTGAGCAGTGTGGGGGTGCCCACGCCACCCAGCGCTGCTTTGGCCGCCTGACGGACGCTTGGCGTCAGCAGTTCCCTGGGGCTAGTGAGATCCCTCGCTGGGATGAGCTTCTCAGGGCTGGTGTAGCGATCTTTGATCTTGATTTTGATGCTATCCTTACTGCTATGTATGTTGTGGATTATAGTGAGGAGAATGAGGGTTACCGGTGTTTTCAGCCCGACCCGGGCATTGGTACTGCTGCGCTAGGTGCTTGTGAGGCTGCTGCTCTAGGTGCCAGTGCGTCTGCGCTCTCAGGTACTGGTGAGACTGCGCTCTCAGGTACTGAGTCGTCCTCGTCCTCCCTCACTTTCACACTTGACTCCGGAGCTTCTCGCTCCTTCTTTCGAGACCGCACTACCCTTTCGCCGCTCGCCAGGCCGGTTGCGGTCTCCCTTGCTGACCCCTCTGGGGGTCCTGTCCTGTCTCACTTCTCCACTGTCCTCCCGTGTCCGGCTGCCCCTTCGGGCACCCTGTCGGGTCTGTACCTTCCCTCATTCTCTACGAACTTGGTGAGTGGAGCGGACCTGCAGGATGGGGGTGTTCACCAGTTCACTCCTGCGCGTCAGAGGGTGACCCACTGCACGGAGGCTCGCACAGGCCGACACCTGGCCACGTTCTCACGTCGGCCGGGTCGAGTCTCTACACCCTGACCGTTGAGTCTCCTCCTGTCCCTGCGTCTGGTCAGGTGGCAGCGTCGAGTCAGGTACTTGCTGCTGCGTCCCGGTCAGGTCCTGAGTCTGCCCCCTGTTCTTGTCGCCTCCTGTCTCACGAGACTCTCCTGTGGCACCACCGTCTTGGCCACCCCTCCTTGCCCCGTCTTCGGAGCATGGCTTCCCGTGTCCTTGTCTCTGGTCTTCCCCAGTCTCTCCCTCCTCTCCCCTCCGGGCCAGGACCTTCTTGTGTCCCCTGTGTCGAGGGTCGCCTCCGGGCTACTCCTCACTCCTCCCACTTCCCCCCGACAGAGGCTCCCCTGCAGACGCTTCACATGGATGTGTGGGGCCCAGCCCCCGTCCGTGGGCAGGGTTACGAGCGCTACTTCCTGTTGGTGGTTGACGACTACTCGCGTTACACCACAGTCCTCCCCTTGCGCAGCAAGGGTGCGGTCACTGAGGTGCTGATCGACTGGATCCGCGAGGCTCGTCTCCAGCTCAGGAAGAGCTTCGGCTCGGACTTTCCTGTTCTGCGTCTGCACTCTGACAGAGGCGGAGAGTTCTCTTCTCGCCTTCTGCGAGACTACTGTCGTGCACGGGGGATCCGCCAGACCTTCACGCTTCCGGACTCACCACAGCAAAATGGGATTGCTGAGCGCCGCATTGGCATGGTCATGGATGTCGCTCGTACGTCCATGATGCATGCGGCTGCCCCCCATTTTCTGTGGCCGTTTGCGGTGAGGTACGCGGCGCATCAGCTCAACCTTCACCCCCGGGTCTCTCGGCCAGCGATGTCCCCAGCCTTGCTGTGGACGGGGAAGGTTGGCGATGCGTCTGTGTTCCGTGTCTGGGGATCTCGGGCGTTTGTCCGCGACTTGTCTGCGGACAAGCTGTCCCCTCGTGCTGCTCCCTGTGTCTTCCTTGGCTTCCCCACTGACGCCCCAGGGTGGCAGTTTTACCACCCCTCCTCTCGTCGTGTTCTGTCCTCCCAGGACGTCACGTTCGACGAGTCAGTCCCCCTCTACCGTCTCTTCCCCTACCGCACTCCTTCCCTCCCCCCTCCCCCGGACTTCCTTGTGCCGGTTCCCCCCCCGGTAGACCCCCTCCCCCCTCAGGTTCCTGCCCCCTCAGGTGTGTCCCAGGTAGACGCCGTTGACCCGGTCGAGGTTACTGGTGACTCTGGTGCTGCTGCGGGTGCTGAGCCTGGGGGTGCTGACTCTGGGGGTGCTGTGCGCGGGGGTGCTGAGCCTGGGGGTGCTACTGCTGGGGGTGCTGGGCCTGAGGGTGCTACTGCGGAGGGTGCGGAGCCTGGGGGTGCTGAGCCGGGGGGTGCTGTGCCTGGAGGTGCTGGGTCTGGGGGTGCTGGGTCGGGAGCTGCTGAGCCTGGGGGTGCTGAGCTGGGAGCTGTTGAGCCTGGGGGTGCTGCGTCTGGAGCTGCTGAGCCTGGGGTTTCTCCTGCTGCTGCGTCTCGCCGGGAGCCCCTCTCTCCACAGGAGCTGCGCGAGTGGTTCGCTCGCCGCTGGAGGCGTGCTGCTGAGTCTGGAGGTGCTGCTGGAGCTGGAGCTGGAGCTTCTTCGACCGTCGAGGGTGCGGGTGCAGCCGGTCCCGGAGCTGCTGGCCCTGCAGGTCCTCCTCGAGCTGGAGCTGCTGAGGGCGTTCGTGCTGAGCCTGCTGCTGTTGGTCCTGCCGCTGGAGGTGTGGGTGGCGCTGGTGCTGTCGCTGAGGGTGCTGGTGCTGTCCCTGCTGAGTCTGGAGCTGCCGCGCGGCCTCGGCCGTACTTCGTTCCGCTCCTTCAGCAGGTTCTTGGTCTTTCTCCTCCACTAGAGGGTCCACCGCCTGTCCAGTCGCAGCCTCTACTGGAGCCTTCCTCTCCACTGCCTGCTCCCTCTCCTTACACTGGTCCTACTGGAGGTCTTGCTGAGCGTCGTGAGCCTGCGTCTCGTCCCGCGTCGCCTGTTCGTGCTGCTCGCGCTAGTGGTCGCAGTTCGCGTCAGCGTCCTCCTCCTGTCCCTGGCACGCACCGGATGTCTTTACGTCCGTCCACTGCTCCTCTGCGTGCCCCTTTGCCTTCTCCTCCTGAGTCCTCTCTTCCTGCGCTTGCGGACCCTGAGTCGGACTCTCTTCGTGCTGCCAGTCCCACTGTCACGCGTCTGCTTGCTACTGTCGTCACTGACCCCTCTTTTGAGTCCACTGCTGCGTCTGCTCTAGTCGCTGAGCTCGTCGACTTTGCTGCTCGCTGTCGTCTCGACTACGCTGCTAGTCTTGTTGCTGAGTCTGCGTCTGTCTGTCCTCCGTCCCTCGGGGGTGAGTGTGCTCTTGGCACGGACGTCCTAGAGGACAGGCAGGAGGAGTTACAGTGTCTAGCGGCTGCTTCACCTCATCTCGCGTCTGTACTGCTTGCCCCTGAGGGAGACCCGGATGCACTAGACATCCCGACTCCGCGTTCTTACGCGGAGGCCGTAGAGGGTCCCTACTCCTCTCAGTGGCAGGCAGCTATGGATGCAGAGATGGCTTCCTGGAAGTCCACAGGCACCTACGTTGACGCGGTTCCCCCTCCTGGGGCGAACATCGTCAGTGGCATGTGGATCTTCAGGGTGAAGCGGCCGCCGGGCTCTCCACCTGTCTTCAAGGCACGGTACGTTGCTCGTGGCTTCAGTCAGCGGCAGGGAGTTGACTACTTTCAGACCTTCTCTCCCACCCCGAAGATGACTACTCTTCGGGTGCTGCTGCACATAGCCGCTCAGCGCGACTACGAGCTTCACTCTCTCGACTTCAGCACTGCGTTCTTGCAGGGTAGCCTGCACGAGGAGATCTGGCTTCGCCGTCCACCTGGCTTCACTGGGACTTTCCTTCCTGGCACCCAGTGGAGCCTCCGACGGCCAGTCTACGGTCTCCGCCAGGCACCGCGTGAGTGGCACGACACACTGAGGACTACGCTTGCGGCTCTTGGGTTTGCTCCTTCTACTGCTGACCCGTCGCTGTTTCTTCGCACCGACACTTCCCTGCCGCCGTTCTACATCCTCGTGTACGTCGACGACCTGGTCTTTGCCACAGCGGACACTGCTGGACTCGCCTACGTGAAGTCCGAGCTGTTGAAGAGACACACGTGCACAGACCTGGGTGAACTGCGCAGCTACCTTGGCTTGCAGATCACTCGGGACAGAGCACGCCGCACCATTACCTTGACTCAGTCACACATGGTGCAGCAGGTCCTTCAGCGCTTCGGCTTCACGTACTCCTCGCCTCAGGCCACTCCTCTGCCTACTCGCCACTCACTCTCAGCTCTGCCTTCGGATGAGTCCGTAGAGTCGAGTGGTCCGTATGCGGAGCTTGTTGGCTGCCTCATGTACCTGATGACCTGCACACGACCTGACCTTGCATACCCTCTGAGCATTCTTGCACGCTATGTTGCTCCTGGGAGACACAGACCGGAGCACATGGCTGCAGCGAAGAGGGTATTGCGCTACCTGTGCAGTACGTCGGGCATGGGGCTAGTGCTTGGAGGGCGGAGTCCAGTGGTCCTTACCGGCCACGCGGACGCTTCTTGGGCTGACGACCAGGCTACGCAGCGGTCGTCACAGGGTTACACCTTCAGCCTTGGTTCCGGCTCTGTCTCGTGGCGGTCTACTCGCTCGTCTTCGGTTCTCGGCTCCAGTTGTGAGGCTGAGATCTACGCCGGGGCCATGGCTGCACAGGAGCTTCGCTGGCTCACCTACCTGCTGACTGACCTTGGAGAGCCGCCTCGTTCTCCTCCAGTGCTGTACGTAGAAAACAAGGCCATGCTGGCCTTGTGTCGAGAGCAGCGCTTGGAGCACAGAACGAAGCACATTGCTCTCCGCTACTTCCTTGCTCGTGAGCTGCAGCAGCGTGGTCAGTTGCGACTTGCGTACGTGGCCTCTGAGGCCAACACTGCTGATGTGTTCACCAAGGCACTTGCGCCTTGTGACCATCAGCGCTTCTGCACCCAGCTGGGTCTTGTGCCTGTCTTGCCTCACTTGCTCTCCTCTTGACTTCACTTGTACTGTGACATATATATATACCTGCTCTTGCTTGTCTTGCTTTATATATATGTCTGTACTCTTGCTTGTGAACTGGCCTTTGGCCTTGCTCTTGTGCTCGGACTGTGTGGTGACTTTGTGATCCACCCTGAGCTTTGCTTTGTCTTGCTTGACTGGTCTTGTGACCCCTTGTTCTCCCCCACTTTGCCTATGGGGGTGTGTCAGAACATATCTATAGCTTATACTGCTGTGTAGGCTGTAGTGGGGTATCCTATAGGGGGTACAACCCAGTTAGGGTTTCATATTTGTACTGCTTTCATTCATAGTTGATTCATTCCTGTTTTCCTATTTTCACAATGTATATGGAAAATGGTGCATTGGCCAGGTCGGTCAGTATGGGAACTTAGAGTGCAAATGCCAGGGAGAACGGAAGCGCTCAGATCTCGCATAGTACATGGAATCTAGTGGTCTAACTCAAATAGAAGGTAGGAAATAAATTCATTTAGTGAACGTAAGGGTTTGAAAGGTAACTAACGCACATGTGTAGAGAAAATGGTGCATCGGCCAGTCTGGCCGGCATTTCGCACTTATAGTGCAAGTAGGGCCAAGGAGAACGGAAACGCTCATTTCTCAAAAAGTAAAGAGAATCTAGTGGTCTCACTCGATCAGAAGGTGGGAAATATATAAATCTAGTGAGCTAATAAGGTTCAAAAGGAATCTAATGCATATGTATATGGAAAATGGTGCATTGGCCAGGTCGGTCAGTATGGGAACTTAGAGTGCAAATGCAAGGGAGAACGGAAGCGCTCAGATCTCGCATAGTACACGGAATCTAGTGGTCTCACTCAAATAGAAGGTAGAAAATAAATTCATCTAGTGAACGTAAGGGTTTGAAAGGTAACTAACGCACATGTGTAGAGAGAATTGTGCATCGACCAGTCTGGCCGGCATTTTGCACTTATAGTGCAACTAGGGCCAATGAGAACGGAAACGCTCATTTCTCAAAAAGTAGAGGGAATCTAGCGGTCTCACTCGATCAGAAGGTGGGAAATATATAAATCTAGTGAGCTAATAAGGTTTGAAAGGAATCTAATGCATATTTATATGGAAAATGGTGCATTGGCCAGGTCAGTCAGTATGGGAACTTAGAGTGCAAATGCCAGGGAGAACGGAAGCGCTCAGATCTCGCATAGTACACGGAATCTAGTGGTCTAACTCAAATAGAAGGTAGGAAATAAATTCATTTAGTCAACGTAAGGGTTTGAAAGGTAACTAACGCACATGTGTAGGGAAAATGGTGCATCGGCCAGTCTGGCCGGCATTTCGCACTTATAGTGCAAGTAGGGCCAAGGAGAACGGAAACGCTCATTTCTCAAAAAGTAAAGGGAATCTAGTGGTCTCACTCGATCAGAAGGTGGGAAATATATAAATCTAGTGAGCTAATAAGGTTCGAAAGGAATCTAATGCATATGTATATGGAAAATGGTGCATTGGCCAGGTCGGTCAGTATGGGAACTTAGAGTGCAAATGCCAGGGAGAACGGAAGCGCTCAGATCTCGCATAGTACACGGAATCTAGTGGTCTCACTCATATAGAAGGTAGGAAATAAATTCATCTAGTGAACGTAAGGGTTTGAAAGGTAACTAACGCATATGTGTAGGGAAAATTGTGCATCGGCCAGTCTGGCCGGCATTTCGCACTTATAGTGCAAGTAGGGCCAAGGAGAACGGAAACGCTCATTTCTCAAAAAGTAAAGGGAATCTAGCAGTCTCACTCGATCAGAAGGTGGGAAATATATAAATCTAGTCAGCTAATAAGGTTCGGAAGGAATCTAATGCATATGTATATGGAAAGTGGTGCATTGGCCAGGTCGGTCAGTATGGGAATTTAGAGTGCAAATGCATGGGAGAACGGAACCGCTCAGATCTCGCATAATACACGGAATCTAGTGGTCTCACTCAAATATAAGGTAGGAATTATATTCATCTAGTGAACGTAAGGGTTTGAAAGGTAAGTAACCCTCATGTGTAGAGAAAATGGTGCATCGGCCAGTCTGGCCGGCATTTCGCACTTATAGTGCAAGTAGGGCCAAGGAGAACGGAAACGCTCATTTCTCAAAAAGTAGAGGGAATCTAACGGTCTCACTCGATCAGAAGGTGGGAAATATATAAATCTAGTCAGCTAAAAAGGTTTGAAATGTATTCAACGCACATGTATAGAGAAAATGGTGCATTGGCCAGGTCGGTCAGTATCGGAACTTAGAGTGCAAATGCCAGGGAGAACGGAAGCGCTCAGATCTCGCATAGTACACGGAATCTAGTGGTCTCACTCAAATAGAAGGCAGGAAATAAATTCATCTAGTGAACGTAAGGGTTTGAAAGGTAACTAACGCACATGTGTAGAGAAAATGGTGCATCGGCCAGTCTGGCCGGCATTTCGCACTTATAGTGCAAGTAGGGCCAAGGAGAACGGAAACGCTCATTTCTCAAAAAGTAGAGGGAATCTAGCGGTCTCACTCGATCAGAAGGTGGGAAATATATAAATCTAGTGAGCTAATAAGGTTCGGAAGGAATCTAATGCATATGTTTATGGAAAGTGGTGCATTGGCCAGGTCGGTCAGTATGGGAACTTAGAGTGCAAATGCCTGGGAGAACGGAACCGCTCAGATCACGCATAATACACGGAATCTAGTGGTCTCACTCAAATATAAGGTAGGAAATATATTCATCTAGTGAACGTAAGGGTTTGAAAGGTAACTAACGCACATGTGTAGAGAAAATGGTGCATCAGCCAGTCTGGCCGGCATTTCGCACTCATAGTGCAGGTGGGGCCAGGGAGAACAGAAACGCTCGTCTCTCAAAAAGTAGAGGGAATCTAACGGTCTCACTCAATCAGAAGGTGTAAAATATATAAATATAGTCAGCTAAAAAGGTTTGAAATATATTCACCGCACATGTATAGAGAAAATGGTGCATTGGCCAGGTCGGTCAGTATCGGAACTTAAAATGCAAATGCCATGGAGAACGGAAGCGCTCAGATCTCGCATAGTACACGGAATCAAGTGGTCTCACTCAAATAGAAAGTAGGAAATATATTCATCTAGTGAACGTAAGGGTTTGAAAGGTAACTAACGCACATGTGTAGAGAAAATGGTGCATCGGCCAGTCTGGCCGGCATTTCGCACTTATAGTGCAACTAGGGCCAAGGAGAACGGAAACGCTCATTTCTCAAAAAGTAGAGGGAATCTAGCGGTCTCACTCGATCAAAAGGTGGGAAATATATAAATCTAGTGAGCTAATAAGGTTCGAAAGGAATCTAATGCATATGTATATGGAAAATGGTGCATTGGCCAGGTCGGTCAGTATGGGAACTTAGAGTGCAAATGCCAGGGAGAACGGAAGCGCTCAGATCTCGCATAGTACACGGAATCTAGTGGTCTCACTCAAATAGAAGGTAGGAAATATATTCATCTAGTGAACCTAAGGGTTTGAAAGGTAACTAACGCACATGTGTAGAGAAAATGGTGCATCGGCCAGTCTGGCCGGCATTTCGCACTTATAGTGCAACTAGGGCCACGGAGAACGTAAACGCTCATTTCTCAAAAAGTAAAGGGAATCTAGCGGTCTCACTCGATCACAAGGTGGGAAATATATAAATCTAGTCAGCTAAAAAGGTTTGAAATGTATTCAACGCACATGTATAGAGAAAATGGTGCATTGGCCAGGTCGGTCAGTATCGGAACTTAGAGTGCAAATGCCAGGGAGAACGGAAGCGCTCAGATCTCGCATAGTACACGGAATCAAGTGGTCTCACTCAAATAGAAAGTAGGAAATATATTCATCTAGTGAACGTTAGGGTTTGAAAGGTAAATAACGCACATGTGTAGAGAAAATTGTGCATCGGCCAGTCTGGCCTGCATTTCGCACTTATAGTGCAAGTAGGGCCAAGGAGAACGGAAACGCTCATTTCTCAAAAAGTAGAGGGAATCTAGCGGTCTCACTCGATCAGAAGGTGGGAAATATATAAATCTAGTGAGCTAATAAGGTTCGAAAGGAATCTAATGCATATGTATATGGAAAATGGTGCATTGGCCAGGTCGGTCAGTATGGGAACTTAGAGTGCAAATGCCAGGGAGAACGGAAGCGCTCAGATCTCGCATAGTACACGGAATCTAGTGGTCTCACTCAAATAGAAGGTAGGAAATAAATTCATCTAGTGAACGAAAGGGTTTGAAAGGTAACTAACGTACATGTGTAGAGAAAATGGTGCATCGGCAAGTCTGGCCGGCATTTCGCACTTATAGTGCAAGTAGGGCCAAGGAGAACGGTGTGAGAATAAGCGAACAGGAATGAATGAACTAGAAGTGAAAAGAGTACAAGTAGTAAACCCTAGAATTGTGTACCCCCTATAGGCTAACCCACTGTAGCCTACACAAGTATAACATATATAATGTTTGACACACCCCCATAGGCAAAGTGGGGGAGAACAAGGGGTCACAAGACCAGTCAAGCAAAGCAAAGCAAGCTCAGGGTGGATCACAAAGTCACCATACAGTCCGAGCACAAGAGCAGGGCCAGAGGCCAGTTCACATGCAGGAGTACAGACATATATATAAAACTAGACAAGCAAGAGCAGGTATATATATATGTCACAGTACAAGTAAAGTCAAGAGGAGAGCAAGTGAGGCAAGACAGACACAAGACCCAGCTGGGTGCAAAAGCGCTGATGATCACAAGGCGCGAGTGCCTTGGTGAACACATCAGCAGTGTTGGCCTCAGAGGCCACGTACGCAAGTCGCAACTGACCACGCTGCTGCAGCTCACGAGCAAGGAAGTAGCGGAGAGCAATGTGCTTCGTTCTGTGCTCCAAGCGCTGCTCTCGACACAAGGCCAGCATGGCCTTGTTGTCTACGTACAGCACTGGAGGAGAACGAGGCGGCTCTCCAAGGTCAGTCAGCAGGTAGGTGAGCCAGCGAAGCTCCTGTGCAGCCATGGCCCCGGCGTAGATCTCAG